GCCGTACGACATTTATGACGACGATAATAAACTTGTGGCCAAGGAGCACACCGAGGAGGATGAGGCGAAGGAGGCATACGGCTATGGTGGTCTCGGCGGTGCGGGTAGGGGCTACACCCGAGTCATCATGGATGATGATGCGGAATCTGCGACCAGCATGGACGACAACACGAAGTATTTGTTCAAGGAGGTCAACGGCACGAGCCTGACGGAGGAACAGGATGAGCAACGCGATGCCGTCTCCCAGATGCAGGCGACGAAGGACCTCCTCACCGAAGGACAACGCGTGGCCTACGTGGGCCTGGTGCGCATTGAGATATTCCAGCTCGTCAGGGCGGCGGAGACGATTGAGCAGACCAGGAGTTCCAAGAAATGGGTGACATTGGGAGCCGAAGCGACCAAAATGTGGGGGCAAAAGATGATGATTCGGGTGTATGCGCACATGGACATCAGTGCCGCCGAGCAGGTCATGGTGGAGCAGCTCGCTGATCACGGCGTGATCCCATCCGACTTGACGCCCGTTTTGATGGCAAACGCCCGGGTCAAGAATCCCATGGCAGGCAAGAAGGGTAGCACAGTTTCAACGCCAGCAGACCCGAATCGAAGCTCCATGTCTTTGTCGGCTCCGAAGGACGCTCTCAAATCGCCAACCTCCCCCAGGAGTCCTGCTCCGCCAGCTTCAGCCATCTCGCCAGAGGATGAAGAGGTTGCGGAGCCCCCGCCACCGTACGAAGCTCACCCCGACGGCGAGATGCCCGACGTGAAGATTCCCTCGGATCTCCCTTCCAGCGAGAATCTCGAAATCGATTTGCGCTGGACAGTCCTGTGTGATCTGTTCCTCATTCTGATCGCAGACTCGAGCTATGACGCCCGATCCCGCGTCCTGCTGGAGCGTGTCGGTAAGAGCCTGCAGATCGACTGGCTCGAGATTCGCAAGTTTGAAAAGCGCGTCACAGACGCTCTGGAGATGCAACAGCAAGCCGAAAAGGAGAATTGGAACGAGGAAGACCACCTGGAGGTGCGCAGAAAAGACGCGCTGAAGAAGCGCTACGTGATGATGGGCCTGGCGACGGTCGGCGGCGGCCTGGTCATTGGCCTGTCGGCAGGCATCCTCGCCCCCATGATCGGAGTCGGCCTTGCCGCTGGTCTCACGACGATTGGAATCGGTGGCACGGCGCCCTTCCTCGGCGGCGTTGGTGGAGCTGCCATCATCACGACGGCGGCCGCCAGCTCTGGTGGCATCGTGGGCGTTCGGGCGGCGAACCGAAGAACTGGTGCCGTCAAGACGTTTGAGTATCGGCCCCTCCACAACAACAAGCGTGTCAACCTTATCGTCACCGTTTCCGGGTGGATGACGGGCAAGGTGGATGACGTCCGTCTGCCGTTCAGCACTGTGGACCCCATCATGGGCGATCTGTATTCGGTGCTGTGGGAGCCCGAGATGTTGAGGAGTACTGGTGACACAATCAACATTCTCGCCACCGAGGTCAGTCAATGCCCACGTTTTCATTTATTTATGCACACTGCTAACTAGGACCGAAGGCTCTCACGTCAGGTGTACAGCAGGTACTTGCGAATACCCTGCTCACGGCTCTCATGTCCGCCCTGCAGCTGCCAGTCATCCTCACCAAGCTGGCCTACCTCATCGACAACCCGTGGGCCGTGTCACTCGACAGGGCGTGGTCGGCAGGTCTCATCCTGGCCGATTCACTGATCGACAGGAATCTGGGCACACGGCCCATCACGCTCGTGGGATATTCCATCGGTGCCCGTGTCATCTTCTCCTGCCTGCAGGAGCTTGCCCGGCGTGGTGCGTACGGCCTCGTGCAGAATGTCTACATGTTCGGTTCGCCGGTCATCGTCAAGAAGGACGAGTATATCCGCGCCAAGTCAGTCGTCCCCGGTCGTTTCGTCAACGGATACAACCGCAACGACTGGATCCTGGGCTATCTGTTCCGTCTCACCCACGGCGGCATTCGACGCGTGGCCGGGCTGGCGGCCGTGGAAGACTGCCCCTGGTGTGAAAACATGGACGTCACGGACCTGGTCAAGGGCCACATGGAGTACCGCAAGATGATGCCTCGCCTGCTGCGAGAGTGCGGCTGGCTCGTGGAGAGCGACGAGTTCACCGAGATTGAGGATCCGGACCCGGATAACCACGGGCAGCGACAGCGCGAGCTGATCAACGAGATCGAGGAGGCGCGCAAGGAGCTCGAGAGGGAGGGTCAGCAGGCTAAGAAAAGCAGGTTCTCCATCTTTGGGCGCAAGAAGAAGATGGAGAAGGCCAACTGGGAGATCTACGAGGAGTCAAACAAGGCAGGCGGGTCGGCAAGCAAGACAGAGGTCGAGGGAAAAGATGGGCAGGAGGGCAGCAACCACGGCGTCCTCTTTGACGTGGATGCGATCCGGGCCGAGCTCGCCAAGGAGGAGATGCAGGTCAAGGAGCTCCAGTCGACGCTGCCGCCGATGAAGCTCGACCTCAGCGCGTCGCCGAACCCACGGGACAGCCTGCGGGGCACCAGGAGCGCCGACGCATCGTCGCTCAGCCTGCGACCGTCGTACGACACGCGGCGCGTCTCGGAGGACCCGTCGCCGCTCGGCTCGAGCCGCGGGCGCATTGCGTCGCCATACTACACGGACCCGGACCCCTACCGGGAGGACGAGGTGTCGATGACGTTCGACACGTCCTTTGACGACCCGCCGCCACGACCGCCGCCGCCGCCAAAGGACGACCCGCCGCCGACGAGACCAGAGTACAAGTCTGCGCAGACGGTGCCCAACATGACACTGAACGACCCGTGGGCGGACCCCGACGACGAAGACTTTGGCAAGGAGAAGGAGATGACCATGACGTTCGCATAGTGCGCACCGTGGCGTTGGATGAGTTGTGTTGCTTTTGAAGACGCGGGGCTCTCTTTTTCCGTCCTCTCTTCCTCTTTCTCTGTCTCTGAGACAGATGGGGGCAGAGGCTATTTTGGGACTTGAACGCATACAATGACGACTAGGGCCTATTTGTTTGTAATATTGTACGCAGGATGGCGTTCGCGGCGGTTGCTGTTGCAGTAGAGAGGGGACAGGGGGAAGAGGGCAGACCAAAGAAAGGCGTGGTGGCGGACAGCCTTCCTTTACTGCAGGGGACTCGAAGGCAGAGTCTTGGGGTTCAACGCAGCTGTACAATACTAGGGGGAGTAATGGAAACGGGTGTCCAAGTCTGATTCAGGCTGAGAAACCGAGTCGATGTGACGCTAGACGGATGGGTTTCACGGAATCGACGATCAGAGGAAGGACGGCGTGATCCATTGGGCGGGGTGGTGTCGGGGGCTGCTGCAGAAGTCGCTGTTGAACCGGACGGGCAGGTTTTGCTGCACGTTGGGCGAGCGCATGTCTGGGCGTGTCGCTGGATGGCAGCTTACATGTATATGCGTCAAGCTTCGTTGGGGGCGTCTTTGCGCGTGCTCTGGGTATGTGACAGGTACAAGCCTGGAGGACGAAGTGTGGAATAAATCCATTCCTTCTTTTTCCCATGAGGTTTTGGGGTGTTCCATGTTCGAACCGTGCCGTGCATACCCCCATCAAGGAGATGGAACAACATGTCAGACGAGCCGTCGTCGAAGTCGTTGAAGCAGTAGAAGGCGGCGGATCAGCCGCAGAGCCACTAGAGGGTGGGGTCCAGGCCTGAAGGGGGTTAGGCGCCGACGCAAATAGCAACGCACTGCCCCTTCCTGCTGACGGGAGGGGGGGGTGGGGGGGCAGAGCCTGGCAAGCCTGGCAGGGACGGGCGGGAAGGTGGGTGGGACTCGGAACAGCCCTGTGGCGGGCGAGGTTCGTCGTTGGCTCCGGGCGGTGGGTTGGGATGACCGCCTCATTGCTGCCGGCTTTTGGCGTATCGCCAGGCTCTCATCTCGATTCGGTGATGGTTTATGGGGGGCTTCTCTTCCGGTGGTATCTTTCGTGAGGTATCTTTCTTGAGGTAAGGTATCTTTCCAAAAGCGATGATCATGACACAGACAGGCAACTGCGCCGACCCCAAGGCAAGAGAGTCACAGGAAGCCTGGCACGGCAGGAGGACCCCTGGATCTCGGGAAGCAACTGGATGAGTAGGCCCCACACTAGGTACCTACTGTACATGTACATGTTGCATGGTAGTGCGATATGCAGGAGCTGACACGGCATTGGCATGGGCTTTCCACGACATGTCAACTGCCAAGGCACTGCTCTGCCCGTTGGCTGTTGGCTGTTGGCTTTTGGTCCTGACATGTGTTGGTTGGGCCGTTAGCGACATGTCTTTGCTGCCACGCCTTGCCGCCATGAAAGGGCTCCCATCTTCTTCGTCACAGGGCAAAAGAGCTCCTTTCCGTTCTGGTCTTCTTTCACCTTGCTGTACATACACCTCCTCCACGCTCTCTAGGGCCTCGCGAGCAAGCCTCTCATCCTGCCGTGCACCACATTGCCCCCGAGCAGGACCACCGACACTACGAGCTAAGGATCACAGCTCAGCCTTGGCTGTCTACACCACCCTGCCTTCGCCTCCCTCGTGCATCCTCAGCTCTCCAAGCCTTTCCACTTGCCGTCGAGTGCAGATCCCCGGCCTGTCCCTGTGCGTGTACGTCTTCACCAATCCCATGCCACTCAACCCACCCCACCTCAGTCTTGCCAGGCGAGTTGATCTGTGAGACGACACCTTTCACCTCCAGGCCGCGGATCCTCCCTTGTCCTACCCTACTGTACTGACAGCACCTGGCGCAGTTGTCAACGTGGAGCACAACACCGCTTGGGTTACCAAAGCTCTTCGTCTCCCTCATCATCCCGCTTTCTGGTTTCTCACCCTTGTCCTCCTCAGAAAGACGCATTTGAAGAGGCCACGGCTTGCTTTTACATTTCGGCCCCTCTCTGTGCAAGAATTGCATAGGGTATCTGATTCCAGGCTCAAAAGCAGCTTTGGTCTGTGTTGAGGGGAGATCACGGGCAGCCACAAGCCGTCGATGATCCAGCCGCCCACGATGGGAGACATCAGAGAGCCGACACCAGAGTTGGACCGAGGCGTCACAAATCCAACAACGAGCACAGTCAACGAAGCGGCGACCAACCAGCCTGTTAATCTCCGTGGTACTGCGACCACGTCTTCAACTACAAGCGGTTCAACTGCACAACCGACCGGGAAGAACAAGGCCATACAATGGGAAAATTGGGACGTGGCCCGGCCGTTTCCTGTCCTCGTTGCCGGAGACAGTGGCAAGGTGCCTCACGCGATCAACGCACTATTATTGAGCGATCTGGTTCTAGAGAAGGGCGAGTGGTCTTATAAACGAGAGGGGGCCCCAGAAGTGACCCTTGCCACCACCTCTACGCAGAGCAATCAAGTGCCGAACTCTGGCGACACGGGAGAGACTCGAGTTCGCCAGACCGATGGCCGCGGGTCTCTTGAAAGTAGGTCATCGTTGTTCCCGTTGCTTGTGGCCGTATGTGCTGATCAACCTCCAGTGAGCGAAAACTCAATTGTGCTTCCGCTTGGAGTCTTAGAGTCTTCCCAAGCACCATATGGCTTAGACATGTACCTCAACCTCACCTGGCGGTATAAAGACGAGATCGGTTGGAGCAACTCGGGCGTGTTCACCGTCGTGGAAACGGTCGAAGAATCAGACGAGCGTATGGAGAGGCAGATTCAGGCGTTTGAGACGGAGGAGCACCTCCCAGATGAAGTCTCTCGCATCCTCAATGGCGGCAGCAACGTCATCCCATTGGACCCATCAAACACTGACCTCACTTTGGCTCCGTCAACGACAGGCATCGCCTCTTCTGCCAACGACGACGCCGATTTGGACGATGACAACGATGAAGGAGGGCTCTCCATCGGTGCCAGTGCCAAAGCTGGCATCGGCGCTGGTGCTGGCGTTGTGGGTCTGGCACTGATCGTCGCGCTCCTCTGGTTTTTCTGCCTACGAAACCGCCACAAGAAGAAGGGTCACGTCAGCAAGAATCCATACAACACTGAAGGTCACGTCTCCGAGTATATGGTCAACAAGGAGACCACCGGCGCTCGCGTGACCGAGTCACCTCACTCGCCCTACTCGGACGATGGCAGTCTCGCGCAGCAGCAGCAGCAGCAGCAGCAGCAGCAGCAGCTTCAAAACCAGACGGCAAGCTCATCGCCACGCGAGACCACCGCATTCGTCACCAGTGTGGCGGCTGCGCCCAGCTCGTCCAGGCACAACCTTGAGCGCCAGAGTGAGGGGCAGGATCGTGGCCTTTCCGAAGCAACGCCGCTGGCGGCGTCGACGCCACACAGTGACTTGCAGCAGCCACAGCACGAATCGACAAGACCAGGAGCGCGGTCCGCGACCCCTCAGGGCGTCAACTCGAACGTGTCGCACCTCATCGAGGATGGCATGACGGAGGATGAGATTCGGCGACTGGAGGACGAGGAGCGGCAGCTGGATGCGGCGATTGAGCAGCACGGGCACGGCCCGGCGCCTGGCATGAGGCGCAGAGGATGTGTCAGGTTTACCACCATAGGCATCCTTTGACTGGAGT